ACCAAGCTTAGAGAACCCCAAGGACTCCACAGTTCAACCCTGAGCTACACATATTCGCCTCCATCTTAAAGTTCTTCCCCACTCCCTCTCTAGAAACCAGAGTTCTTCATCACCTAACCAAGTTCTTTCTGCATCAGAATAATACTCTTTTGCACTATCACCTACTTTTTAATAAAACATTTTAGTGTGTGTAAAATGGGTATTATTTCCCTAGTTTAGTGCAACCTTCCAGCAGCATGTGTTTTCTCTAAACTGAAATTCAACACGTTTTATCATCTGTGCAGGATTGCTCATTTCTCAGCAGTCTGAACAATTGGGGGGAAGCCAAATGGAATTAGCAGCATAATAAAAAATGTTTTAGAATGGTTGTGACTGACACCTGTTGGCTGGTTCCCATGTTTAACATTCCTTTTCTATGCTGGGTCAGTTTTGGAATTGTTTATTGATATTTGTTTCATGCATACAAATGGCCGTATATCTTCACAAATCATTTACAACCCAATCTTAGGCATGTTCACTCAGATTCCTACCCAGATTTTGATTTCCTTACAGGTTAGTAAACTCAGAACTATTTTAAATGGAAAATAATGCTGCAAATTTTCACTTCAGAGGAAAACTGACTACACCCAAGAGTTTTTGCAATTTGTTCCAGTCATTGTAACCTTTGCATTTCCTTGCCTGGCTGCAATTCAGAACCCAGAGCCAAAGGATTTCCCCCCTCCCAAGCATGGCTTTCCCATCCATCATTAACTACCTTTCAGAGAGCCAAACCCAAAGCTTGGTCACTGGAAATATTTCTATATAAGTAAGTGTGCAGTTGCTTTTACCCTAAACAAAAATGATTTGGTATATTCCTGCAATTGAATAACCTGACAAAAATCCCCAAAGGCCGCAGTCCCCAACATGTTGTTCACTGGCACCTATGGGGCTTTGGTGCTTGCTAGACATTTAAAAAAATCATTTTAATTTAAAAATGGGAAGCCCACCTGCTGCAAAGCAAAAGCCTCCAGCAGCATACAATTCCCAAGAATGCCTTTGGGCCCTCCACAGGCCCCATAAGCTTTCAAAGCAGCATAGGGTTGCAAGGGACCTGGGGGTCTTTGTCTAAACCCCTCCTCAAGGCAGGAATCCTCAGACAATCCCAATCAAATGGATGTCCAACCTTTGCTTGAAAACCTCCAGCAATGGACCCCCATCCCATGACTCCAGGAGGCATGCTGTTCCATTTATTAATAACTCTCAAAGTCAGGAAATTCCTCCTTATTTCAAGTTTGGATCTTTATTTGTAAACAGTTGGGCACTGGTTCTGTCCTACCCTTGGGCACCATGGAGAACACAGCTACCCCCTCTTCCCTGTGACAGCCTTTTGCACACTGGAAGACCACTACCAGGCTTTCCCTTAGCCTTCTATTTTTAAGGCTAAACACGCCCTGTTACCTTTCTTAGAAAATAAAATACTACAACTCAACATGCAGGGTTTTTTTTTTTTTTTTGGAAATATGCTGAAGAACAAAACTAAGGTACGCAAGAATAACTTGCAATATAGTCTAACTATTTATGTCTCCAGTAGGAATTAGTTTGTGGATTAGGTCCCCTTTCTCTGTATGGCCATTTTACAGGGATACCCATGCTATTCTCAAAATTCCAAGAGGGCCCACCAGCCCACAAAATTTGGACTCTTTTTCCTTTGCAATTCCCTTGCTGTATTCTCACCTCATCCTTTCATAATGAGCTCTGGCCACATCACTAGCATCTATTTAGGCCACCTGTGATCCATTGTCACGGACTGCTAATCTATAACCTCAACACTATGCAGCAGTTCCTGTGAACAGATGGGCAAGGGAGTCCTCATCATTCTTTGCACCTGCCATCCTGCTTCTCCTGTGCCTTTATAGCAGCCTTCCTTGATGGATGCCCTCTCAGTTTGTTGCATTACAACTCATCATCCTCAGTCAGCATGTTGGAGGGTGGGGGATGATGAGATCTATAGTCCAACCCATTTGGAGAGCACCAGCTTGGGAGAGCTTTCATCAGACATGGGGATATTTATTTTTTATTTCAATCTATTCATATGGCTGCCCATCCTGCAAGTGCAATATAAACTATCAATACAAAATAACAAAACAATAACATCCAAAACAAACAGAAAATGGCAATCAAGGAAACCAAACAGTCAACGTGTCATGGGCTCAACTAACCTCCTGACCCCTTTGCCAAGCAAAAGGACTTTCCGAAAGGCCAAGCAGGGCTGGGGGCAAGCCAATCTCAGGTGCTGTGGTGTTCCATAGCATATGGTAATAAGGTCCTGCCTTTTCAACTAAGGTTGTTAGTTAGATGAACTAGATGCATTCTGCACATGCCTTCTGGCCCTATTTCCCATCTGTTATCTCTGTGCCTTAACTTTGTTCTGTAACCCTTGTTGTTCCACTCGTACGATCATGCAAATCTACAGAGCTGCTTTATACAAAGATCAACTTCTTAGCAATAGCTCTCTAGGGCTTCTGGCAGCCAATCTTTCCCAGCAATGCCAGGATTTAAACCTGCCACCTTCTAGTTTAGTTTATACCTTGCCTTAAAAGTGTAACCCCTTTTATTTTACTTCAAGTTATTAAAAATATATACTGAAATAAAAATAACTACAAAAAAACTAAACAGAAATAAAAACAGAAAAACAAAGTAATAGCAGTAAGCAAAACAGAAAAGGGAAAAAATATGAACAATTTAGGCATGTCACCTGAATATCAAATATTAACCAATATATGGAAATTTCAAATTAGGAAAACAAAATTAAAAAAACAGAAACAAAAAAAAAACCTTTTCCTAATTTGAGAGAGTATAGCTCCTTCATGGTGCCTGTCTGTCCAAATGTTCCTTACTTCCTTTTCAACATCCCAGATTTGTCATTCTCCAGGCCTGCCCTGCTTTTACTCCTAAGCCTCTTGCTTTTCTTAGGTTTCATATGTATGTATGTATAAAATGACTATCGAAAGTCTTGTGATAGTCAATCCAAGAATCCCTTTGCAATGAAACCTTAGAGCAGGGTTCCTCAACCTTGGCAACTTTAAGACAGGTGGACTTCAACTCCCAGAATTCCCCAGCCAGCAAGGATGGAATTATGGCTCTCATGAAGCTGGCTGATGGTTGCTCTCATTCATTCCCATTTACAGCTGCCTCAGACCCAGCTACAGGGGTGCCCTATGTCCCAGCAGATTATCTGTGAGCCCAAAAAATATAAAATGTCCTTTGATTTCTCCCTTCCCTTCCTCTTTTACTTTCTTCAAGCTTGTGGTCACCCTACCTGGGTAAGACATAGCTTTGCCCATTTTGTTATCCAGACTTCCCGAATGTGGAGCCCTGCATATGAGTGGGAATTGCAACTCCCAGAATTTCCATTCCTGTTGGTTTGGAATTCTGGGAATTCTAGTCCCAGTATGCCTGCAAATCAGCAGGTAGAAGGAAGGGGATCTTTAATTCTGAGTTGCTGCCTACATTAAGTAGGATTCTGCCACTCCATTTATTCTCAGTATCAAAGTCTATCTTTACTCTGTTACACACTGGATAAAAGATTCTCAGTCCAGTCACCCCTATGCATTTATACAAACTGGAAAGCAAAGAGAGGGGCTCAACTTCATCCAGGGGCTAGCTGGATTGTTTGGTTCCAAGGCTGAGCAGAATGCTTCCCAATTCCTAATCCACATCCAAGAGGAAGGCTCCCGAGAAGCTCCGAGCCCATCCCTCCCTCCTTTTTTAGAAACTTAAGCACTAAGACTGCCAGAATCCTCTCGTGCTGAGGAACTACAGTCTTCCTCAAAATCCCTAAACTTTGATAGGTGAAATATCAATCTTTAAACGCTTCTTCTCTTAAAAATGTAGCTGCAAAAATCTGTTGCGGACCACGCGCAAACCACCTTTCATTCTTCTTTGGCTGAACGAGCCCATACCCTGAAAGTGGAAATAGGCTTTCATTAGGTAGACTTTGAGGCAGGTCCTTTTCCACTGCGGATTCTCCCATGCCCATCCCTGGTTTCCAGTCTATGATTTTTTTTCTAACCTCACTCCTAACAACACTCCAAAATCCTAACACGTCCAGCAAAAATTTCACACGTCCAGCGACGGCCGCCGCCAATAAGTTTCCGTTTCTTCTGAGGCTGGAAGTTGCAAGCGCAGCTTGAATTCCAGCCCGGCCCGGCCCAAGCTGCGCCCTTCGTGGCTCCAGTGGAATCCGAGCGCGGACAGGAGCCCCTTTGTACCTCGACGACCCCCTACCCACCTCCACATGCTCCCGCTCCACTTCCACGGCCACCACCTCATGGCTCCGATGCTCCTGGGCCCGGCAGAGCTGGCAGATGCAACTGTGATCGGTCCGGCAAAAGCTCTCCAAGGGCTTGAGGTGCAACTTACAGAGGCTCTCCTCGATGTGCCGTAACGGCGGAACCAGCCGGTGGCTTTGGAAAGCGGGACTTTTCAGATGAGGCTGTAAGTGGGGGGAGCAGAAGGACGCCAGGCACACCAGGCACGACTTAGCCGCTGTAGCCCGCTCCCCGCCGGTGCAGAAGTCGCAAAGCACCTCCTCGGCCTGGGCATCGCCGTTCCCAGGAGCGCGCGGCTCCGTCGCCTCCTCGGGCGCCATAGCCAGGCCCGGACTGCTCGGCGTAGGCTGTCGGAGCTGCAACAATTCCGCCAGGGTGTGGTTCTTACGGAGCGGGAGGTCGGCTGGGAAGGGTTCCTGGCAGAGGGGGCAGCGGGAGGCACTTTGCCCTCCGGCTGCTGTGACGCCCCCGGGGCGATGCCTGTGCGCCCCGATGCACTCCAGGCAGAAGTTGTGGCCGCAAGGAGTGGTGACCGGGTCCTTCAGGGCGTCTAAGCAAATGGGGCAACTGAAGGGACCTTCCTGAAGACTAGGAGCGGGGCTGATGGGGCCAGAGCCCGCATCCATGCTGCTGAACTCAACCAGGAGGCGAAGAGCGCGGCGTTGGGTTGGCCCCTTTCCCCGAGGCAGGGCAGGGGGCTGGAAGCGCCAACTCCGCCCATCAGGAGCTCGTGTCGACGACAGGCAGCCGCGGCCAGCCCCCAAAGGCAAGTGAGGGGCCACCTTCTGGGAATTGAAGTCTGCAGAGCTTAACGTTGCCGCCGCTTAGAGGAAGCGCCTGCCTTCCTCCACCCGCCTCGGTTAGAAAGAAGAAAAAAAATCTGCCGCTGCCCCTCGAGGCGCGCAAAATGAATCCCCATTCAGCCTTTCCCGCCCTTTGCAGTCTGGTTGAAGCGTGTGACTAATTGCGAAAGAATCCGAGCGGGTGCTTCGGGACTAGGGAAGCCGACCGTTCCCACTCCCCCGCCGCCGTCGACTCTTCCGGGCAGGACACGATTGCATCATCTTCTTCCTCCCGGGTCTCGTCCATTTAAGCCGGGTGTTAACACTTAGCGAGGGTATTAGGAATAAGATTGCTGACAGATTCCCTCCCCCCATCTCCCAGTTTTGCTGCAGTCAAATTTCTGTTTTAACTTTTTTTTTTTTTTGAGGAGGAAGCCTGGCTGTTTTGCCCCATATTTATGCAACTGCCACGTTCAGCCATACACTTGCTGCACGAATTAAGTGTTCTTAATTTCTTCAAAGTGTCCATGAATTGATTTTATTCCCAAGGAAAGATGCACAGGTGACAGCTTGAAAACACAACTGCAGTTCCTGTCACCTGGCCAGCGTTGCCTAGCGCTCTCAAAACACAGCTGAAATATATTACTCTTTCCCTTTTCTGTTTTTAATCAGTCTGTCACAACTACTTATAAACTGGGGGCAAGAGTAAACATTTGGATCTGAAATTGTTAGTTGCATCCTTTCAGCAGTTAAGCCTTTTACAAGTTGATAACATTGCGCTGTGCATAATTGGATGTGTATGTAATATTGGAGATACCTGTTGATATAGCAAGTGGCACTGCCAAGAAACCAGCAGACGTCATCAAGGACTTTATAGTGACGTGGTTGTTGGTGGAAGGTCCAGCCCCTTCAGTTCCCGCAGTGCTGTTCCTCCTCCATGCTAATAAATGGAAAGATGGCTTTATTTTTTACTTGAGAGGTGGGGTAGGAAGTAGCAGAAGGCATGACTTAAAGCAGCGTTTCTCAACGGTGGCGACGTTAAGCTGTGCGGACTTCAACTCCCAGAATTTTTACTCTTCTTGGGCTATTATGGCCCTGGAAGATTACAGGCATGGCCCAGTTCACAGGCAGAAAAGGAAAGTATAATCCAAGAATTTAGCAACCTTTTTAAAAAGACAAAAAGCAAATATATTTGCTCAGTTTAATTCCTACCTCATACTCTTTAATAAACAAGATAGGGGAAGAATGCATAGCATGGCTTTTGGAATTCTTTCTAACTCTTTAATAATGGTCCCTTCTGGGTCAGTCGAATAGGGAGAGTGCTTAGAATGGAGAAATTGACAGCAAACTGAGCCACTGCCTCCTGCCTGTCCCATAGAAATGGACTGAAAAATTATTTTTCCTGGATCTTTTCCCCAACAGCCTCTAGCCAGATCTGACTCATTTTCAACTCTGATCTTTCTTTTTCCAGCTTCTCCACCCCCCACCCCACACATATACCAAATACGGCCCTGTTCTGTTCGATTTTCTGGGAGATATCTTGCTGATGGACAGTTCTGAGGAACTTCACACAATTTCATTCCAACTTTCCATTGGAACAAACAGTATAAAACTGATAATAAACACAACAAGAATCTGTAATGCTAGTTGTAGATACATCACAATTGCATAGAAAAATAAACATATTCTTTCCCTGCAAATTTTCACATAGGAAAACAGAATAAAACCTGCTCCAGACCTAACTGCCTTTTAAAAAATGAACATTAATGTTTATATTTTTATAATTCTGTTTTGCTATCAATGTTTTTACTTTTTTAAAAAGATTGTTTTGGTTCTTTTGTAAAATACTCTAGTCTCCTCTAATAGGAAAAAAAGGTACAGAAATAAATTTTAAAAATTGCCTTCTGGAATGCACGTTCTTAAGAAATGGTTACTACTCAGTCACAAGTATGAGAAACTGTATGTACTTACAGTTTCACAATATACTTTCACAATGAAGTGACTAGAGAACTTGTGAACAGTGATTTGTCCAGGGTAAATTCTCAACACTACTGCTTTCTGCCAACTTGGTTCTCTATTGGCTATGACAATTTCCCAATTAAAAGTTGATTATCCTTTTGTTTACACTATTTCATTATTCCCATTCATGTATTTTTTTGTAGATTGCCAGAAAGCTCTATTCAGCACCAAAATGATGTGCATCAGGTTCTATGCTGCATTAGCACCTAGCTGCATCTTTACCTGGAAGGGCAAGGATGACTTGCAACTCACAAGGGAGCTATAAAAAACAGAAATGCAACATTTGTCTCTGTACACTCAAGCAACTTAAAACTTCTTTTCAATACTCCAGATGTATTTGCTTGCCTCAGCATTTTTCCACAGGGACAACCTTTGCCTGTAAAGCAGGTGACCTCTCATCAGTTACAATGGCCTTTGGCAAAGGGTCACAGCTGTACCTTCACAAAGCCAGAAAATTGGGACAAGAGGCTCCGTAATGGTGGTGTGAAAAATATGAAGGCATTTCATATTATTGTCTATGCTGTAAAAGGATATAACTCCTTGATCACAGTCCAACAGAACTCCAATGAATTTGCAGAGAGGCTCTTTTATCTTTGCAGACTTGTTATTGTACCAAGCCACATAGCTGTCTTCTTGGACATGCAGGCCCCAGGAGAGTTTATCCAACCCAATGGTGAATTTCTGATGAGTCTGTTTCCTCCTTGTGAATCTTTCACAAGCTACGCCAACGATGACAGAGTGGTCAGATAACTCCACTTCCCAGTAGTGACTGCCCTGGCTGAAGTTCTGAGTACACATGACTTGCCATGGCTCAAACCTTTGAGGGTCATTTGGCTTTGGCTTGTGAAAACCTTGGGGATGAGTTGCCTTCTGGTTGTTATCAGATAACTGCAGGTATTTGTTAGCTGTGATTGGATCAAATGTCAAGTTCTGCTGATCTGTGGGGGTGATAATGATAACATATTAGGAGAAAGCAAAACTCAAGAATCTTTAAGACCATTGATTCACTGCTCCCTGGGGTATTTTCTATTTTGCAAGTCAATTGAAGGGAAGTACATGTTATACAGCAGGATGGTATTATTAAAGTATTGGTGTAATTAAAAATGTCCGGAGTGGTATTATTGGGCAGATCCTTCTTCATTATGCTGTGTTTTCTAAACCCTAGATGATATAATGTACTTTTGCTTCTTGTTTATTAGTGTCACAAGTCACCACTGTTTTTAGATGTGGAGTCTTTAACTTGGATTCTAGGAAACCATGTCAGATACATAATGAAAAGTTAACTTGTTAAGGTTGGAAGATACAAAACCATAGTAATAAGTAGGAAGGTTGATATAATAGTAATAATTTTGTGCCTTCAAGTCAGTCTTGATTCCTGGATAAGTTTTCTTGCCAAGGTATTTCAGAAGTGGTTTGCCCTTGCCTGCTTCCTAGGGCTAAGAGAGAGTGACTGGCCCAAGGTCACCCAGCTGGCTTTGTGTCTAAGGCAGGACTAGTCTCCCGGTTTCTAGCCTGGCTCCCTTGATATAGTTGATGAAAACTGAAAACTAGCTTCTAGCTGAAGAGCTCACAGTTGCCTTTCTGAAATCTATGCCATGATAACTATAAAGAGTGTCTGTTCTTGCTGGCAATTCAGCATTCTTTTGATTAGCATTCTGCCTAAATATGATTAATGAGATAATTATTTCCCTTAGGGATACAAACCAGAAATCCAAACACAGGAAGTATATAGACATATACACAAATATATACACATCACAGACTATCCCTTATTTATTGCTGTTACCTGTAGTTAATGAAAACAATCATCTCTATATGCAGCAGTTAGGGCTTTCTGGTTTGATTAGTTTCCATCTTTGCCAAAGAAAAGGAGCGATTGCATCTACTTTTATGGAAAAAGGTATGCCGCTTATAAATTAAACAGAGATCTAATTAACTGGTTCCTCATGTTGTGATAATCTATGCATACAAAGTCTCTTTTTAAAACCTTACAAATTAAAAAAAAAAGTCAGAGAGAAAACAAAGCAGGAGACCTGACTGAGACTTAAAAGAGCTATAAACATAATTCAGTTTACACTGATCCCACGATTGTCTCTATAAACTATGAGATAGACTGGAGGGCCACATAAATGAAGCCTTATCAAGCAGATGGACTAGAAACAATCAAGAATGGTGAGTCTGTGCAATCAGTGCTCAGTAAAATAACTTTGGCTGGATGTACCATAGAAAATGCCATCATTGTAGGGCAAGCAATTTACTCAGTTACGTAATGTACATACACCTATGCAGTCACAGAGGTACAATTACACTTTTTTTTTGTACTTACAATATATATATATATATT